CAGAGTGGGGAGCAGAACAGGCAGATCGACGAAGTACACTGCTGAGGGGAGCAGCGGGCGGGTCAGGAGAGGTCTGCCGCGCCATGGGGTCACCTCCGGGGCAGGCGGGAATCAAAATCATGGGAAGTGGCTTTAGCTTCTCAGTGCTGTGCTTTAACCCGCTGCACTACCAGGGAGGGCCTGCAGTTGATTTAATAACGGACACTGTTGGGGAGGAAAGGGTGCTCTACAAGCAGATTTATGAACCCCAGCCCAGACCAAAGAGATCTGAGACACCAAGAACTATAAATCCCAGAACGCCATCCCCACCAAAGGGAGGATGCTGGGAGCAGAGGGTGGCTTTCAGCAGCCAGGTTTGGTGCATAACCAGACAGTGGGCCTTGGGGGTCCTTGACTTCTCTCAGGCTTTCAGTGTGCTATTGGGGTTCCCGCTCAGTGGAACTGGGAGTGATGTGGTTTTGGGGTAGATGGGTTTGGAGAATGGGGTCCTTGGGTTCACTCTGGGAAAGGGTGAACTCACCTGGGATCTCACCAGCACCAGTGAGATCCCAGGTGAATTTCTCCAGGACACAGAGGTGTTCGTTATATCCAAAAGGGCAGGTTTGTGAAAAAAAGGGAGTAGAATAAAAGACATTTGCGTCATAGACACAAATGCACAGGAAGAGAAGCCCTGAGAGGGACAGGCTTGCTGAGAGGCCTGCATGGTCGCAGGCGGGCGGCCCTGAGGAGAGCAGCCTCTGCTGAGGGGGTCAGTGAAGGGAAGCCCCCGGCAGGTGCAGGTCACGAGCAGGCAGAGGGATAGAGTTGGCAAAATGAAGCACCTGCCAAGCCCAGGTGGGCAGAAGACTGCTGCCCCGGCTGCCCCGGCCAGGACAGAGGCGGCCCTGACACAGCCTTCTCTTGGGAGGGGCTCGCTCCTTCGCAGAGTGGCCTGTTTGTTGCTGACTTTGAATACATTGTATAGATCTGAAAGGGGCCAGGTTTCTACAGTGGTCCAGTCTTCACCTTCAGCTCTGCACTCCTGGCCCTCCTGCAGCAGCCTGATGCCTGCCTGGGTCTGTGCTTTGTGGTCGAGGCCTGGCGCCTGGGGTCTTCGTGTCTCCAGCTGGGTCAGTGGCTACGCTGGTCCCTCCTACCCCGCACCTGCGGCTCCTGGCGTAGCGTGAGCCTGGATTCCTGGTTTCTGGTCTGTGGCACCTCCCTGCAGTTTCCACCCTATTCTCCACCAGTAGGATACATTCACCAAGATATCTTTCTTTCTCCCTACATTATTCATTTCTTCATTTCCCCTTTTTGGAAATAAGCCCCTAGGACCTCTTTTTGTGTGTGCCTGTGGTCAAGTCTCATGATAAGTCCCTTTTCCATGCACAGGTGAGGACCCAGTCAGGTACCCATTCTACACTGGGGTTGCCCTGTGACAACACCAATTTTGAGACATAAATATACATTTTCTTTTGCTTTTTTGCCATTGTATTACTTATTTCTTTGACATTGAACCACCATTGCAGTCTTTCCATTAAGTTGACAATTCCAACTTCTATTACCTATGTTTTCAGCCTTTCGAAAAGTGCAAGCAAAAAAAGAAAATGCTTTTCTTCTGTGTCTGGCTGCTTACTGTTCAGTCACTCAGAAATTGGGCTCTTGTCATGGAGTTTAATGGAAAAAGCAATGGTATTGTGCAAAAAGAGAAAAGAAAATTACCTGCTTTCGGGATATATATAGAAATAAGCAAGCCAACTTTAACCGGGCTATTGAAATTGCTTGTCAGGGACAGACTCTCTTCCTCGCTCTACAATGCGTGGGGAATAATCTCATGGCTAAATTGCTATTGAGTTTTTCAGAGCCACACTGGGGTTTTTTCACTCACACGCCCCACCTTGTGGCTGAAAGGAGTTCGCTGTAGCCCTATCTCCCCGACCAGCTGGCTGAGCCCAGGGTCAACATCTAAGCACACAGGGTCTCCTGCAAGCTTCTGATGTTGAGATTGGGGGAATGTCTGCCGGTGTGAACCTCCTTCCTTCCCAGCACCAATAACAGCTTTCCCCTATATGACAAAGTAATTCAGCACAAGCTACATTGCAGTATTTCCATTCTACCATGGTATCTGTTTCTCAGAAAACTTTTTAGGCTTGTAACTATTCAGTGAACACAAGAACTCACGTTGGATGTGTCTTAATTTTTTTTCTTCCTTCTTTTCTACAGTCCTGTCTGATTTGTTCCATAATGTGGCCATAGTGTGTGGTGTCATTTTAACTCTCCCCTATAGGTCACTTCTCTTCAGTCTCCTCTTTCATGATCTCTCTCTCTCTCTCTCTCTCTGAATTCCACCTTTGAAACACAAAGAATCTTAATTTCCATAGCAGATATTAAATAGTGGTAGAAGGTCTCTACCTGCCCTGCTCTCTAGCTTCTTCACCTCTTTAGCAAATATTTACCAAGTGCCTGCTGTGTACAAGGTACAGATTTTCCCCCAAAAGTCAGCAACCTAGACATTGATAGAAGTTTGGAAATATATATTCTTTTCCAGTTGTCCTCTCAAGCTGTTTATTTGGCTTAAAAAAAAAGAGATTTATTTATTTATGCATACAAAGCTGGAGTACAGGCCAGAGGGGAAGGGGCAGTGAAAGGATTCACCAGAGGCAGAGTGGGGAGCAGAACAGGCAGACTGACGAAGTACACTGTTGAGGGGAGCAGCGGGCGGGTCAGGAGAGGTCTTCTGAGCCCTGAGTCTTCCGGGGCCCAGTATCGAACTTGTGCTGAAGCAGATGCAGGTAGCTTCATAGTGCTGCACTTTAACCTATTGTGCCACCAGGGAGGGCCCTGTTTATTTGACTTTTAAGGAAATGTCAACACACCTGTCAGCTTTTGCCTTCCCCACTGGTTAATAGAAAGATTTCACAAAGAAATGAGGTGCCTTCTTGCCACGTTGCACCCTTAGCCTGCAAAATACGAATTATCCTAATGTTAAATTACAGGCTATGCATTTAGTAGGAAGGGACAAATTGGTGTTTCTGAAAATCAGTACCACTCCTTATCACAATGTACAGATTTCCTAGACAGGAGAAGAAAAGTTTGGATTTAGTTGCCTTCTGAGATCTAAGAGGTTAGGGCACTGAGAAATAAATATTTCTCACAGATATTTGCTTTCTTTTTCTTTGCTACAGGGTATTCACAATTTTACTTTACCCTCCTGGGCCACGGAGGACACCATGACTAAGTTGAAAGAATTGTCAGAATTGTCTCTCTTGTCCCTCTATGGAGTTTACAAGCAGAAAGAGAAATCTAGACTTCAAGGGGGTAAGTATTCCAAGGATGTCTCCAGTGATCTGGGTCTGTGTCCTGGTCCCATCACTCATCAGCTGTGATCTTGGACAAGTCCCTGAATCACCCTGGCCCAGTTTCCACTCTGCAAAATGGAGATGAGGGTGAAACTGATTTCCCAGAGAATGAGGATTAAAGTACATGTGTGTTTTCAAGACTAAGGATAACATTACCTCATACCTAATACACAGTCAGTGAACATTTTGTGTTTCTAGAATCATCTGTGTTATCCACTCTGAGCCTTTGTTTTCCCACCTGGAAAATAAAAGCCCAGGACAAAGTTGAATGATACTTTTCATTCTTTCCAGATCAAAGTAACAAAGGTTTTGCATCTGACCTCTTGAAAATCAATTATGCCTGGTAGCCTATAGGATGAATTTCTTAAGTGGGAGGTATCACAGAAGTGAACTGTTTTCCCAAAACCCTGGGTGGTAGCTATTGCTAACATTGACCAAAAATAATTTGAAGTTCAGTTATCCCCTAAAAACTAATGCCTATAGCAACTGGCAAGTTGATGGCACAGACCAGTTTCCCGTGGTGTTCACAGATGTTCCTTTCTCAGTGATGCTTTTCTCAGCTGGCTTTGGCCCTTGGGTATACAGGGCACCCTAGCAAAGTAAAGTTAGACCCAGGCAAGAGGACACCCAACCCTTGAATCTTATAGGTGGGTGGAAGAACAAAATCAGGACCAGGCAGGATGGGAAGGATGCCAAAACCTGACAGGACAGGTGGGTGGGCAGGGTGGGACTACAAATCATCTCAGTTTCAGGTCTGGTGAGTGTGATGTTAAAACAAAGGATGACGAGTAAGAGGTGGTTCCTCATGGCAGGTTGATGTAATTGACACATGTCTAAGCCACATGAGGGCTTTCTAGTCGGCATTCTAGCCCATTGGAGAAAATCAGTACAATCCCATCAGGACTCAAACCATGGCCAGACCCTGTTCACAATGGAGTCAGGGCAAGTTTCACAGAAACCCAGAAGGTAAAACATCCTGGGGACTGGATTAGACTCAGGCGATGTTCACTCAGGGCTGCACAGCTGAGAAAGAACCAAACCAGCACCAGGAGAGGCATCTGCCAGTCACAAATGCTGTTCTAGAGTGCAGGGTGAGCTGTCACTGCAGAGCAGTGAGGGGTGATGTGTGGGGATCGAGCATCCAGGGTGAGTCCAGACAGAGCCTGCATGCTGGGGGAAGCTAGCAGGAAGATACAGGCGGTGTGCAGGACCGAGCTCTACCTTGTGTGCTCACCAACAGAGGCTGCGGGTGGACAGTGGGCCTCACAGCTCCAGACTCACCAGAGCACGGCACCCCAGCACCGTGGTCCACCCCAAACCATGGTAGAGCTGAGGCTCGCCATTTATTCCCCCAACCTAGTCACATGAGTTCAGGAATTCAGTCTCCTGCTACTCAAAATACAATCCAGGTGCCAGCAGTATCCACATTATCCACCATCTGGCTAAAAAGCCAGGTCAGGCCCCACCTCAGACCAGCTGAATCAGAATGTTCATTGAATTAAAACCCCAAGATAGCTTCATACATTTATCCAAGTTTGCAAAGCACTTCTCTAAATGCAAGAGTTAGTGAAAGAGGCAGGGAGAGCCAGGCGGAAGCTGGCCATGGTCTAGTACTAGATGAGCAGGATGTAGTGAAAGATGGGGATTGTTCTAGCAACTTGCTAGTGCTTCCTTTTTTCTTCGTTGGTTACTAGCAATTGCATTAAGAGGAAGTCACATCCCCTTCTGGGACTCAATTTTGCCGTCTGATGACTAAGATGTCCTCTTGGGTCTGGGATTCAAAGACTGGCATCTGTGGGAACATGCCTATTTTCTGGAGGAAAACATGCTATTGATAAGACAGCAGATTATTTCTTGAGTGATTCTTGCCGCAACGCAAGCTCAGCCTGTTGTCCAGATCTGGCTAGAGAAGAGACGCATCAGTGGCACACCTGATGAGTGAGGAAGCGCAGAACACGGTCGTGCCAAGAGAACCCGAATTGTCTAGAGGTCTTCCGGACCTGACCAGCCTCCCTCTGCCCTTTGCCAACCATTCTGTCTCACCCATTGCTTTTTATTATTATTATTATTATAGTTTATTTCTACATTATTTTTTGCCTTTTTCCACCTCAGTTGTAATCCCCGTGGGCTTCTCATCACCAGTTCACCCATGTGCCATCACCATAGTCCTGTATATTTCCTACCTCCCCCCCCCATTTTTGATCCCATTTCCCGCTCCATCCCCATAAAATATCTCTGGTATATAGTTGTTCATTATTATTATTATTCCCCACCCAGCCCCCCCCACACACACACATAAAGCATAGGCCCTTCATGCTCCTGCTATGAGTGAAGCCATCTGGTATTTTTCTTTCTCTTTCTGGCCTATTTCACTAAGCACGATCCAGCTCCATCCATGTCAAGACTCCTCCATGATGGGTGATGATCACCCATCCAGTGATCCTGATTAGTAATCCTCTCATCTCAGCCGCCTGCTACACACATGCACACGTATGCCTGTGAGCATGCCCACAGGAAAATCCCTAATGCTAGCTTAGGACTGTTGTCACAGTCAGGAAAATGGTCCCCTGAAAGCAACCCACAGCTGGGCCCTCCCTGGTGGCGCAGTGGGTTAAAGCACAGCACTAAGAAGCTTAGGCCACTTCAGCATGAGTTCAGTCCCCAGCCCTGGAGGTGACCACATGGTGCAGCAGACCTCTCCTGGCCTACCCGCTGCTCCCCTCAGCAGTAGACTTCATCAGTCGGCCTGTTCTGCTCCCTGCTCTGTCTCTGGTGAATCCTCTCACTGCCCCTGAGCCTCTGGCCTCTACTCCAGTTCTGTAATGTATAAATGAATACATCTTCTTTAAAAAAAAAAAAATCAACCCACAGCAAATGAACCCTGACACCAGAGAGCTGCTTCCCCTACCGCTCCCAGAGGAGTAGAGACAGAAAGGAGCCCCCATGCGGTTATCTCAGGCCCCCCTTGCAGAAGGGCATTGGCTGACACGGTCTGAGAAGACTTATGCAGTCATGTCCAAGTTCCGAGCCTCCTAACTTGAGCTTTTGGAGCTGTGAGTGTAAGAGCAGCTCTCTGGCCCTCCCTCGCTCACAGCAGATATGGGACAGTTAGTTCTTTCCTCTCTTCTAAATTCTTGAGAATTATGGCAGAGAGACTAGCTATGTAGGAATGAACAAAAAGCTTGTCAACGAAAAACAAGCTCATCTTGGGTTCAGCTCATGACTGAGTTGTTGTTCTTTCAGGCGTCCTGGTCAAGGAAATCATTGACCAAATGAAGAGAGCGACTCAGCCAGCAAACCGCAGAAAACTTGTGATCTATTCTGCGGTAAGTGTTTCTGGCTCCATTCAGCAACCCTGGACAGGAGACCCCCTCTTCTTTCATAGCATTTCCCTATCACCCAGTAGATGGTAAACAAAACTTACCAAGTTAAGTAATAATTCTGGCCCTCAGCAATTGATCCAGTCCTGATAAGATGGGGGTTCCTAGGGGTTCCTAGGCCCAGGCAGACCTGGCCTCATGGCCGAGACCCTGTCAGAAATGTGCACCTGCTGTGACTCTGGCTTTCTCACCAGGAGGACAAGGGGAAGTTATTTCTGGTGAACCACCTTGCAGGGCTTTTTTGTTTGTTTGTTTTTTAATGCATACAGCATTAAAAAAACAGAGACATCATACAAAGCAAGGTGGAAAGATGTTAGAGACAGGAAAAGGACCTCTGCACCAAACTGAAATCAGGACCAGAGAGGACAAGTCAAGTGTGCAGGGCTTGGACTAGGGCAGAGCTGTGGAAGGCGATGTGTCAGGTCTCCATGGATACAAGGAGTCAGGACCAATGCACGGTGGTCTTGGAATAGTGAGGTTTGAAGTGCTCAGGGGAATCTGAGCAGAAAACTCTAGAGGACAAAGGGGAGAGAAGAGGAAAGGAAAAAAGATCTGGGACTTTAAGGTGGAGCTACATGTGGGTGCAGAAAGAACAGAGAGAGATTTGGAGAAGAATTCCATCTGGAAAAGGAGACATGGGTGAGGGAGAACGAGCAGGTGGATCATACACTGGACGGCCACCCACGGAGTCTGGAATGGGCAGGAAAGAGGCATGCAGAAGGCAAACAAAACTTATAAAATAAAGTACATAGGCCTGAGCCTCGAGAAATTTATCTAGTCCTGAAAAGAAGACAGGTAAACAGGAACACCATACGGAGCATGCCAACTCATCCCCCATACGCTTCACGGTGACAGGACTTCTCAGATGTGGGTGTCTGAAGAGGCCTTTTTTGCATGAAGTTGGAAGAAATGATTGGAGTTGGGCTACTATGTGGGATGCTCAGTGGTGCAGGCCAGAGAAGAACCCAGGGAGGGAACAGAATATAGCGCTTCCTGGAGAGACCAAGGTCTCGAATTAGTTGACTGCCAGTTTTTCCAGTCTGCTTTTCACACATCAGGTGCTCCACTAAAATTAGTTCTTCCCCGCTCTATGTCAGTCACTGGGGTATGGAGAACTTAATTTCTGGGAATCAGAAGCCATCCTGGTGTTCTGTGAATGCTTAATGCACACCTATTGGATGTAAATATGAACCAGAGGCAAAGATCTAAAATGATTTCGTGTCACATCTCTGCAGCATGACACTACTGTGAGTGGCCTGCAGATGGCGCTAGAGGTCTACAACGGGCTCATCCCTCCCTATGCTTCCTGCCACATAACGGAGCTGTATCTTGACAACGGGTAAGTGTCTAGAGTTAGCATCAGCGGGTGGTAGGTTTTGCTGTTATCATTGTTGACTCAGGAGTTGTTTTGGCTGTCTACCTGCTTGCTTTTATATTCGGGGGAAGATGGTGGCAAGTAACAATACTTTTGTGCCTTTTTTTTCTTTGTTTTCGTAAAGACTTTTACTGGGAAGAACACTGAGACATTAGATGCATATTTGCAAACTCCCTTATGTGACAGAACTTACACTTAAATAAATGAAGGTTTTTAAGAAACATGTGATATCGGGGGGGGGGAGGGAAGTGCACGGGATTATGGTGATGGCACACGGGTTACTTGGTGATGGGAAACCCGCGGGGATTACAATTGAGATGGCAAAAAAAAAAAAAAAATGTTAAAAAAATAAACTGTTACAAAATAAAAAAAAATGCATGCCGTAAAAAAAAAAAAAAGAAACGTGATATCACCTTGTTCTCTTAAAAACCAATTCGAGCAGAAAATACCATGAGAAAAATTAAGCTTTGTTGATGGTTGTAAGATAACGTTCTTTCAGTTAAAGATTTCAGACATATTCAATGCGGCTTCTGGTGATTCTTACCCAGAAGTGCGGGTTTTTTTTTCTTTTTTTTTAAGTTTATTTTTACATCATTTTGTACATTATTTTTTTTCATCTCAATTGTAATCTCCGCGGGTTTCCCATCACCAAGTCACCCATGTGCCATCACCATAGTCCCGTGCACTTCCCTCCCCCCCACCCCAGTTTTTGATCCCATTCCCCAGCAGTGCGGGGTTTTTAAGTACAACTTCTGAGCAGGGTTGACTCTGTGGTCAGACAAAGATTCAGCCTGAATGCCCTAGAAAGACAGCAGTGAGTGTGACCAGGTCTTCTCATTAGTCCACAATATCAGGGGTTCCTAGTCCCAGGTAGACCTGGCCTCATAGCTGAGGTCCTGTCAGAAATGTGCACCTGTTGCGACTCTGGCTTTCTTACCAGGAAGACAAGGGGAAGTTATATCTGGTGAATCACATTGCAGGGTTTAAGATTTTTTTTTAATGCGCACAAGATTTGGGGTGTAAGTCAGTAATACAGGCGGTGAGAGGACTCACCAGAGACAGAGTGGGGAGCAGAATGGGCAGATCTACTAAAATACACTGCTAAGGGGAGCAGCAGGTGAGACAGGAGAGGTCTGCTGCACCAGGTGGGTCAGCTCCCTGGTGGAGGATTGAACACGTGCTGTAGTGGCTGCAGATAGCTTCATAGTGCTGAGATTTTGCCCCTGCACCACCAGGGAGGTCTGACTTGGTCTGACTTTTAGATTTTGCTGTCTAAAATAAACTTTTTTTTTAAAGATTTATTTATTTATGCATACAGAACTGGGGTACAGGCCAGAGGTTCAGGGATGGTGAGAGGCTTCACCAGAGACAGAGTGGGAAGCAGAACAGGCAGACTGACAAAGGTACAATGCTGAGGGGAGCAGCAGGTGGGTCAGGAGAGGTCTGCTGCATCATGTGGGTCACCTCCGGGGCAGGCGGGGATCAAACTCATGCTGAAGTGGCTTTAGCTTCTTAATGCTGTGCTTTAACCCACTGTACCACCAGGGAGGGCCCTAAAATATATAAACTTCTAAGGTTTAAAAATAAGGTTTAAGATAAGAGAGGTAAATACATTCTTAAAGTATTTAATTTTTAGTTAAGTACAAATGTTTAAAATAATATGTCCTGTAAAAGAATTCTCCACTGGGGAGGAAGTTCACTGGACTATGGTGATGGCACACAGGTAATTTGGTGATGGGAAGCCCACAGGGATTACAACTGAGATGGAAAAAGGCACAAAATGATGTAAAAATAAACTATTATATAATTTTTTTAAAATAAAGAATTCTCCACCTTTGTATTTCTATCCCAAGTTTTTATATGCATCTTAGTGTCTTCATCATTGCAGCTAATTCTGAGTCCCTTAAAACTGGTTTCCAAATATATTAATTAATAAAGGCAATTTGGGCTGCTATACAAATGAACCTCAAATTCAACCCAAAGGAGAATCATTTCTCAGTCATCTAATAGATGGCCCTTCCCCAAATAGTCCGTTGTCTTTGAAATCGGGTACTAAAAAGTTCTGCCTTAATGCGAGCTATTGTAAGTGCTTGGATATACACCCATTCCCTCTGGCAGAGGTATAATTTTTTAAAAGTCTTGCCCTATATTCAAGTGCATGTGTTATATTTTATTCAGTTCCATGTTTCTGGCTGGGTGAAGGAGGGGGATACACAGTCATTCAGGAGAAAACTGAAAGAAATCTCAAGAGAGATAAAAATGGAGCAAATGAAAAAGCATAAATGGACAGAATAGAAGAAAACCCAAAACTCCATCCACCTCCCCCAACTCCCTACTCATGGACTCATCAATCATTCCCAACACTTAAGCCCATTGTAACTGCAGCTCAATTTTTCCTCTGATTAAACACCCACATTTGATGCCCCCAATCAATCAAACCAGCCCCCTATGTCCACCCTCCTGTTTTGTCCAGCCGGCTCCAATCTTCCCATGCCATAAATAAATGGGCTCATATTTGCTCTTTCATAAATTCCTCCATTGGTACTTCAACTGGCATGTTACAGGCAAGTGGGAAAAATTCAGGGACAGTCCAGTAAGCACAGAACTAACAGAGCTCTCTCCTCTGCTCACCTCTCTTCCCCTCTACAGGAGCTACTTTGTAGAGATGCACTATCTGAATGAGACCCAGCATGAGCCATATCCCCTCACGCTGCCAGGCTGCACCCACAGCTGTCCCCTGACCAAGTTCGTTGATCTGGTCGACCCTGTGATCCCCCAAGACTGGTCCACAGAGTGTATGGCCACGAACAAACACCAAGGTACTCAGAAGGCTCTGAATTAGCATGCAGGCAGGGTCCTGCAGAAAGAGCAGGATGCTCTCAGAGAAAGGGTGTGATGTAGCTGTCACCTCTGGCTTTGAGAGAATTGGGTTTCGGGTGATAATTGTATGTTTCAGGAACCGCCTACTTCAGGCAAATCCTACCTCTTGTGTGTCTCTGCCTCTAGTTGCTGTACACCTTGACTTGGTTTCTTCATTGCTTAGATATAAGTTCCTGATGATGCTACACAGGACCAAGAATGCTCAGAATTTGTTTGAGTAGGGTTGAGTGATGTTGCTCTTCAAGTATCTGTACTGAAACAGATTTCAAATAAAATGCAAAACTGAGGGCGAAAGCAAGGAAGGGAAGCTTTGAACTCTAGGTTCACGGGCCAAGAACAACTTACTTGTTTCCACCTTCTGCAAGGGGAGGCGAAAGAGCAGAGCAGAGAACTCGCGGGAAACTGGGCTGAATTCTCCTCTCCGCTGAGCACAAGGACGAGGCAGATCAAAGCCACAGTGAGATTCCACCATGAGAATGCCGCAACCATAAAGAATTCTCGTCTACTCTGTTTTTATCCTGATGGTACAACAGACTGGCTGGCAGTGCTGGGGAAACACACACATACAAATACCTCTTTGTATCCTGTGGCCCCGGAAGTTCATGTGATTTGTGAAGAAGCAAAAATCCAACTTGCCAACACATACTCTGTGCCACGTCACAGCTGCTCTGGGAGCACGACCATCCTAGCAATAAGTAATTTGGTGGGAGCAAGATATTCAGGCACAGCACAGCAGGCTTGAGGGCCCCCGTGGGCTGTCTTGAGCTAATGGTAAATGGGATGAGAAAGGCAGTGTGGTTCTGAATGCATCCAAGAGGTGTTGGACTGTTGCTATCATGACTCTCTTTTGAGTCTGGTAGCTATAACACATCCAGAAACAGTGTGTGGCGTCACCAATACAGATACAGATGACGCGGTTCCCTGGGGTGCCTTCTGCTGGATGGCAGATCTAGGGCAAAGCCACGCTCCCTCTGTTGGTTGTGGGATAGTGGGTGTATCAATTAATATGTTTATTTGTATCTTTTTTTGTAAGTAATACTTGGCCTTGGAGCCATCTAATAACTTTTTTCTTCCCTGCATGGAATTTTCTTTCAGCAGTGATCCAAGTGCAAAATGTTGAATAATGTCATCATTAGGAAATTCAAAAGCAGGACCTCTGGAATGAATTTTGAAATGCATGTGTTTCATTAGAATGATATTCTTACAGGACAAGTTTTAGGTCTCTACCTTTGCCATAGCATTGATTTTTTTTTTTTAAACGGGGGAAAATAGAAAGTAAAATGACTTGGTTCATTTAAATGTTTTCCATTGTAAGTGTGTTTAGTTTGTGGAGACAACCATATGCAAAAGAGTGAAACTAGACTATTGTGTGACACCATAAATAAATATTTACTCAAGATGGATTAAAGACTTGGATAAAGAACTAAAACCATAAAAATCCACAGAAGAAAACAGGCAAAACAC